GGTTTCCTTTTTTGTTGTGTGATCTCATCAGATAAAGCTGTGGTATTTGGAGATGGAAGAAGCCCCACAGTGAGACACCAAGCAAGTCTTTCAGACACTGTCTCAGAGAATGGTCTCTGTAGGGGAAGTTCAAAAACTTTCTAAATTCTTTGGAGCACCTGCCCAGGCCAGGATTGGACTCGACTTGCAGATGAATGGTATATAGGGAGTGAGTATAGATACATGACTCATGGTTTAAGGCAGTTGATAGAAGATTTCCCCACAGTGAAAATACTTTATAAGGAAATTATGGTGAAGCCTTGATAATCCCCACGGACAGGAGGGGGTGGGGGCCAGGATGAATCAGTGAGACAGCTGCATTGTAGAAGATGAGCTGAGGGCTGCTCACTTTGAAGTATATTCTGCTAGTAACTCCTGTAAGCTAGTGTAGTATTGCCAATGAGAGCTCTTCTGGGAGCCTGGTTTAATGAGCAGAAATTAGTTGGAAATGGTTATTTTAAAGGAAGTGGAAGTACTTTAGCTCTTTAGCAAGTTGCAATTTTGTTTGCACAGTTAATCTATAGGTGATTTATATGAAATTGCTGGTTTTCAACTACATTTGACCTATGTAAATGGCACTTATATATTCGTTTAAGTTAGTAAATTCCAACTTCTGTCACCAAAGCTGTTACAAAGATAAACTCCAGATCAGACCTTGGCTAAATATAAAGTGGCTTGGCCATCTTGCAGTGGAAAGACCAGCCAGGTTGGTGTGGAGGAGGGTCTTTGTGAGGTATGCCAGTCCTGCAGTTCTGGGAACAATGGGTGGACAATGGATTCCTGTTTCCCATCTGTGAGTATTCTATTGATATCAAAGCTATGTGTAGAATCTAGGTAGAGCAGGAAGATGCCCAATCAAGATGTCACAAGCTGGTGACTGTCATAGTACAAATTCAAGACATTGGAGGGGCTGGGAGATGAGCAGGGAGCACAGATAAAAGGCGTGGTGTTTGTGAGTCCACACCTAGGCAAGTATGTGAGTGGTTGGCTGCTTTCGAAGGGCCCTTCATAGGGGAGAGGAATTTTACTTCTGCCACTGGGGATCTGCTATAAATTGTGATTGCTAATTTTTATTGAGCACTTTCAGTGTATTGAAAGCCTTTTTTAGCGTATTACACATATTAACTTCATTTGATCTTCATAATTAATCTATGGATAGACACTCTTATTAACCTCAAACTGAGGCATCGAATGTGGAATTAGAATCCAGATCTCTTTTCATCTTGTGCAGGATCCTGTTCACCTTGTTTCTCTAAAGAGTGTATTTTACTGCTTCACTTACCCTGTTGAAAAAACAGGGGAGAAGAAAGGAAAAGGGCATAGTAATAGTTTCATTGACAAACTCACTCAACCGTTTCTTCATTTCTTCATTCCATGCATATGGATGGGATACACAGACTCTGCACTAGCGGATATTGGGAGCACAGCTGCAAATATGACAGACACAGTCCCTTTCCTCTTGGGCTTACTTCTAGGGCAATGGTTCTCGACCAGGGGTGATTTTACCCTCCAGGGAATATTGGCAATATTTCTCCATTTTGGTCATCACAATTTGAGGGATGCTTCTGGCATTAAGTGAGCAGAGCTACTAAAAATCCATGGTGCATAGGATAGTCTCCCATAACAAAGAATTATTTGGCCCAAATGTCAATAGTGCTGCATTTGAATAATGCTTATTTAGTAAGTATGTAGGGACATGGGAATGATGACAACTGCCTAATATATAAGATCGCAACTTAGACCAAAAAATCACACTGTAACACTCTCGATCCTGGGCAGAACTAACTTAATAGACATACAATGGGAGTGTTAAAGACGGGGGAGAATTTGTAAGAGTTGTTTAGTGAGAAGTGAGGAAGAACAGCCTCTTCCAGGGCAGTGCTCCAGGAGGTGCGGAGACCTCACCTCGTTATGGCCGCGCCTGAGCAGGCTCTGGGCCTTGTTAAGACACCATAGTTGGGTATTGAAGGAGCAGAGCCACTCACTTCTAGGGATGCAGGGTTGAACAATGAGGATATCTGCCACGGACAGAGAAGAATGTGGCTCGCAACTGGTTTCCAGATGTTTCGGGTCATGTAAGAGACTCTTGGACTCCTAAAAAAACCAGTAGGCAAAGGGAATAACTCCCCAACACAGTTTAGATTCAATTTTACTAATTACACAGCTACTTTTATTCTATTTTTATTTTTAAAAATTTTATCAATTACCAGTTGCTTGGATGAGGACTTAGAACAGAATAGCATGGTTGACAGAAATAAAAAGAAAGAAATGAATGTTTCTTATCCTCTAATACGGTAGACTATTATACGCACTACGGGGCAATAAACATAAAGCTACCAGCTTATGGCTAGCCACAGAAAATGCTAGTTTCCTTCTTCCTTCCCATGGAGAATAATTGCAAATGAAGAAATAGATTTTCCTGTTTTCAGGGAAGTTGCATGATGGTTGGAGAGAGGAGACCTACAAGTATGCCAACTTTTCAATGCCTCAGCATTCTGCTTTAGAGGTCATCCTCTGGCTAGGAGGTACCTATGGCTTAATTAACTATTTTCTTTGTGTACAGATGTTCCCTTCTCCAAAGCTGCCAAGACTAGAGGCTGAAGAGTTTGTCTCTGAGCTTTCTCTGAGACTTCTGAGCCTTTTATGCTAACTCAAACAATCCAAGAGGAATATCAGGTTTCCTCTGGGTAACTGAGAAGGTTCCCTAATGTCTCAGTCATTCCCTAGGTGTTGAATGACCCAGCAGGATTTAAGCAGTACCTTGACCCAATAGTAAGTAGCCAGCATTTACTATGTGGCTGGCACATAATATGTACTCTATAGTTATTGGCTTGGTGAATGATTGAATCTAATCATCTTTGAAGTGCAAGTGTAAATATGAAAAATCTGGCTGACAATTTTTCCTTCTAAAAGTGGCCAATTTAATTCAGTACAAAATTATTATTGTCTAGAACAATAAAAATAACAACCTCAATCTTTCGCTCTGATTGGTGGCTGTCGTGTGAGCAGAACTGGCAGCTGTTAGAGTTACTAACTCCTAGAACTGATGAGTTGGAAGATATTAGAGAGATAATTTTTTCTGAGTTCAAATTTGGTCAACAAATGCCCTCTAAGGCAGCAATGTCTTTACTTTACAAATATTTATTGGACTTGGACATATATCATACCTTGGGTACAGGTGATGGGATCAAGTCACAGGGATTATAAAGTGATTCATCAGCACTGAAGGAGTTTATAGCCCTATGGGGGAGATAGGCACAGAAACAGGTAATTACAAAACAATGTGATATGTGCCGTAGTGAAAGTCACTATAAGAGGGATCTGTATGATAGAGATGCAGAGGGATAGAGAATCTGTTTTTTCCATTGTTTGAATACTTTCAGTGTCAAGAAATTCATTACCTTAGAAAAATGCAGAGAGAAAGAGCTCATTACCATTTTACAGTCTCTCAACGTATTTTAAATGAGTTTCTACTATGTGCCTACTACATCAGGTGCTGGAGAGGCAACGAATAAAATAGGCACAGTCCCCACTCTCATAGAACTTTCAGACTCATGGATGAGACATTCATTAAACACATAGAGACACAAATAAGCATATAATTACAAACAGTAATGAGTATGAGTATGAGTATGAGAAAAGTCAACTAGCTATGAGACACTCTACACTGGTTCCCAATACCTGGAGAGTGTTTCGATATCTATTTTGCTGAGGAGTTAGCTGAGGCTCCCAACTGTAAAGTGCTTTGCCCAAAGCCACATAGTCGGTAAGTGTCAGAGCTGCTATTAGAACCCAGAATCATCCAATGACAAGTACATGCATTCAACTCCAACTCCTCACCAAGGAGCCTTATGGGATATGGGCTGCCCCATTCAGGAATGGATGATTAGAAATGCAGTCATTTAAACATATCCTTGCTCTTCAGCATACTTTTTACTTTATCTGCCTTTAACACATACCACCAATTTAGGGGTTAATTGTGTACTATCTCATGTTGATTTAAAAATGTGGATTAGTCTTATTTAAGTAAAGACATGGAAAGTCTGATTTTTCCACTCACATCCACCCACCTTCTGTCTGCGCTGATGCTGAACGTAATTCTCATTAAATACTCATTGGTTTAAATCACAGACTTTGAAATTTTTATGTGTTGCATACAGACTCCAAATAATGAACTAAGATAACCCAATTGCTCTGAGTTTGGACTTTAACTCCTGCAGACCCGAGTTCAAATCCCAACTTAGTTACATACAAGCTGTATGCTCCTGGGCAAGACTGTTTCACAGATGAGAACACTGAGCCTCAGTGTTCTCATCTGTGAAATGGGGATCAGAACACCTACATTCAAGTCTGGCGTTAGGAATCAGTGAGATAAAGTGCTTAGTATCGTGCATGCTTAGGACATAGAAAGTGCTAAATAGTTGGCAATTATTATTAGTTTTAAACTTTCCTCTTTATTAAACAAATTTCATCTGAACTATCAAATGAATCTACCTCCCCAGCTTTTAGTTCATTTCTAAAACTAGATATGGTGTTGGAATACTTACTGTCTTTTATTTTTGACCTGAATTCTTTCCCCTTGCCTTTAATACGAAGGGGTCTGATTTGTTTCACTCTCCAGTTTATGCCAGTGGTTCTCAACTGGGGGAGTTTTTGCCACCCAGGAGCATTTGGAAATGACTGGAGACATTTTTGGAGAGGGAGTGGTGCTGGCAACTAGTGGGTTCAGAGGCCAGGGATGCTGTGGGATTTCCTACAACGCACAGGACAGCCCCCTATAACAAAGATTCATCCAGCACAGATAGTGCCGATACTGAGATACCCTGGTTTATATCCTCCAGCATCACGCACACATGTGCATGCGCACACGCACACACGCACGCACACACAGACACACAAACACACCATGCTCATGCATGCTCACACACATGCACAGCCCAAGATCCCTGAAGCGTGGAGGGAGCAGTGTGTGTGGACCTGAGCCCGGGTGAGCTCTGGGATGATGTCATGCTGGGGGAGACCCACGCAGGCCTGCGGTGAGACACATTACACATGAGGGGGCTCACCATTTCCGTGTAGACCCTCACCTCGCCGCCGCCGCCTCATATCCTGCTCCGGTCCCTCCTGGGAATACAGGGAAACCTCGCAGCAGATGGGGTTTCGCTTAGTCACATTCTCTGTGGTCAGATCCGATTACATAGACAGCAGCTCTGGCTCCGAGGGACCCTCTGTTGCCTGGTGCTCTCTGGGCTGACCTTTCACCTTTCACAACCCAAATGGATCCCAAGACAGGCAGGGAGAGGGCTTTGTTCTCAGTTCTATCTATCGAAAGGAGGAAAGCAGAGAAATAGAAAAAAGCCAAAAGGATGTTAGTAGCCTCTTCCGAGGGCAGGGACTGGATATTTCTGTTTGTGTATTTTTTGTGCTGATCATGTACTTTTGAAAAAGAAATATATAAATGATAGAAATCTTGAAGGTATTTGTATTTCATATGAAAGAGTAAGAATGGGTACTAATCACTGAGCAGTTCTAATATTCTAAATAGTGTGTATGTGTTTAACTGATATAATAAAGAGTGAGCAAAGCTGGCTCACACCAGGGCCAGAGTTACTAAGTGGCAAAGCCGAATTCCAACCCAGGTCTCACTTTCTTTGAGGTCTGAGTCTTATCCACTAAGCTGGATGCCTCTTGCTAGTGAGGGGAGAGCTCACAACAGAAAGCGTGACTAATCTAAGACCTCCCTGACACTGAGGAAGGATGGGAGGATCTAGGACTTCTCTGTTGGCATTGCTCGTTACCAAATGAGAGGAACAGGTGAAATTAGTTCCTAGTGCTGCCCATTTCCCAACCAAGCATGCGTTTCTCACCTGGCCATGCTGCTACTGACTTCTATCTCCAGTGGCCAACTGATGAATAGTGGCATGAGATCAAGGGTGACACACGTGCAAGTAGAGGATATTGTTATTAGGGTAACAATAGCTGCTGTAATAGAAAAGACATAGACGTTTTCAGTGGCTTAACAAAATGGAAATTAATATCTTTCTCAAGGGGTTGGCTCTCTTTCAAGCAGTAATAGAAGAATCTTTCCATCTGATGGCTCTATCATCTTGGCTTCCCTGGAAGCTTGGTTTACCAGTAAATCAGCAGAAGTGCGAAGGACCGAGGAGAACTGCGTGGGTGGGATTATGGACCAGACACAGGAGTGACATTTCATTGGCTAGAATGTGACCACATTTAATTGAAAGGAAATCTGGAAATATAGTTTATCTATGTGTCTTAGGAAGGCGAGGAAACAAGTTTTATGAATAACTAGAAGTCTCTGCCACAGTGGGGATCTCTGGGGCTTGTTCTTGAATTTGAAAGAGCTGGTCAGGAATGGGGGGTGAAATTTGGTATGTAACAGATCTGGCTCTGTTCCTCCGATCTCACCTTTCAATGGATAACTAATTCTTTCTGCATACAGATCTCCCTCCTGGTGACAACGGTGGGCTAGGGACAAAGTAGTGAACAATAGTCTCCTGGGGACTAGACTAGGTCAACCAATCTGTAGGGCGAAAATAGAACTCTTTGGGAATAAGAGTCTGTTGGGCCCTCTTGCCTCTGTTCCATGTGAATCTGCCCATATTGTAAATAATTCATTGATTCATTTGTTCCATGACATTTATTTGAGCAGACTATTTACAATGCTAGGCAGAGGGGACCTACATAGCTAGTCCCTGCTCTTGAAGAGCTTATAGTCAAATGTGAAAAAGAGAGGAGGAACAGGGCTGTTATAATCTAACGGCATGAGTCCCATGACTGAGGTAGGTACACGTTATTTGAGAGCCATCTAACCTAGGCTAGAGGGAGGATTAGTTGATTTATCTCTACACTGAGTTTTGAAACATCCTCAAAGTAAAGCAGTTGGGGAAGGATGTTCCAGTGGAAGACACAGCATGTCAAAGGCAAGGAGGCATTGAAGAGCATACAGGAGCAGTTCAGGAGGGGTGGGGAAAGGATCAGTGAGAGGGAAATATGGCTGGACTAGATCATGATGGGTACTGTGTACTCAACTGAGGAACATGCATTTATTCAGCTTTTCTGACATTCCCAAAATGACAATGCCCACTTGAGAAGAGAGAGTTTCACAGCACACAATAGCCCTGCCCATGGACGGCCTTGGTGAGAACTTGCAGCTTGTCCGCAGTGATTTGGGTGCCATCAACACCCGTGTGCATATCACTGGGTTAGGGACTTCCTCTAGTCATGTGTGCAGCTGTAGTTCACATACAATCTCTGCTACACATTCTTGTCTGTTGTAGCAAAACTGTGTGCCTGAGAGGGCACTGGTTCTCTATCTACTTGGGTATCATTCTCTTTTCCCCAGAATCTCTTTGATAAAATTATGTCCTTCCTCTCTCCATCCCTGAGAAACTCATGGCAGTTTCCGTTCTTCAGAGAAGAAGAATGAGTCACCGAGTAGTCACTATACAGAGACTTAACACCCTGTAGCCATTAGTATTCGTGGAAGAGACAAATTACGAGAATGCGCTGGGAATTAGAATCTCCGTTTCTCGTTTTAATCTATTTTTGAATAGGAAGCAGAGCCACATGGAAAAGATTTGATAATGTTAACAAATGACACAACAGTATCTAACTGAGCCAGGAAGTGTTTCTTTCCACACTCAAGCGATACACTTCAGTTACACAGACTTCTGGGAAAATACCTTTCTCATCTTATATAAAAGGCCATTTCATCTTCTAATGTTCAATCCAAATACCACTTGCTCATTTCTCAATATTTAGCTCAGAATGCCTCTCTATATTTTACTTGTATCTCTAGTCCTTGATTACACTCTTTGCCTTGGATTTTAAATAGTTGCTTCCATATGTGCCTCTCTCATGAGATTATAAAATAAGGTGAGCGACATTTATTATGAGCCTACATACGTGCCATGCACGGGGATAACTATCTTACAAATCCTATTTCGTAGATTCTTCTCAGATTGACTGGGGGCAGATATAACTAGTTCCGTATTAAAAATGAGTAAATGAAGGTTCCTAGATATTAAGCTTCTGGAGGGCTTAAAAATACGTCTTCATCTAACTCTGTGTGCTCCGCGAGCATGACATAACCATTCCCTGAAAACAGAAGAAACAAAATAAATTTTAATGAATCCTTGGAATTCTTCTCTTCCCTACCCAAGGAATACAATATTCACCCAAGGCTCGTTTTACACATAAAAAATAAAATATTAGGAAAGCTCGACTGTAATGTAACTGAGCAGTCACAGTGTTAAATATCTCGGGCTTCTGCTACAGGCACTTACCATAGGACATGTATTATTCTGTGCTTCGTCATGATAGAAAGAATGTTCCTTGACGTTGGGGTGTATTTTAGGATCACATTTGCAAAACTTCTCCCAAACAGCTATGTGTCACGATGTGGGAAGAAGCTGGGCATCTGGACCACCCTGTGTTCTGCCCTTTTTCAAGCCTATTGTCTCTTTCC